AGTTTTGGCATGTACCCTTGTCACATCAGAAAATAAAAAAAAATCTTGTACAGTGCCCCTAAAAGGCAGAAAGGTTAATATTTATTAAATTAGAAAAATTACACAGTCATGTAACATGCAGTTGTTGTAAGCTAGAACCCATTCTTATTTATCTTGAGAGACTGACAGGATATTCTCACCAATAATTATTAGCTAAACTCTTCATAAATTAATTTCACTTACAAACACAGGCAGCATGGGAAAAAACCAAAAAGGTGGTGGACATGAAATAAATTATTTGCTGCCAAAGAATGAGAATGCTTTTCCATTTCTGCTGCGCTGTTATTCTAATGTTACCCTGAGTACCCGGAAAGCATCAGGGTGAGATTCACACACTTGCACAAAGCCAAATTAAAGAGGCTTCATGCAGGGCTTTCCACAGAAGACTGAATTGACTTTGTGCCCCTGTGTATACTCGGTGTGTGAGCAGAGGGAGGGGAGGGGACTGCAGCAGTTGTAGCAGTCCCCGGAGGGAGCTGGGACAGCTGTTCCAGGGGGTTCTGACCTGAGAGTCCAGTAGCTTTGTCACCAGGTTACTTATCTCATTTCTGTGTGGTGATTCCTTTGGGCCTGGAGGTGCAGGGATTGCTTCTTGGAGGAGTGAAGTCATCAGACATCCCTCATTTCTATCCAAACCATGTCATTGCAGCGGGGAAGGGTGATACATATCACTGGAAAAGTTTACTCCAGTGAATCATTCTTGCTAAGAGCCTGTGCAGTGGTAGGTACATGCAGCCTCTCCTTTTTGTGAGCCTCAAAAGCTGAAGTCACTTGACCAATATGAAGGGAGGTTCAACTGGGAATAAAACCATTTTGGATTTGATTAATAGAACATCCCTCCTTTCCTAGCTAAGAAGGGAATGCTTTTTCCTGGCACATGGGTAGTACCTGGATTACCAACCATGTGGCATTCATCAGTGCCATTTCTCTGTACTTTCTTCACTCTGCCATGGAGGACTCTTGATCCATAGTGCTGTTCCCACAGAAATGGTTTTTCTATACAAACCATATCTATTACTCAAAGTAGTTTCTTGATCTCCTATGAGGCTACCAGAGAATTTAATGTCAGTGAGCTGATGAGAGGTTTTACAGCATTGCTGTCAGTACTTATGTGACAAAGATCTTCTACAAACTGTGGCAGAAGAAGTGTAGCTTCTGTATCTACCTCCAAATCTGATTTGATTCAGTTGAACCATGGACTCTTTCTGTTTTGATGTTATGTCAGTCTCCACTCTGACCACCTGCGTGCAGTGACACTGCAGTAACTCTCCTGCTGGTCACTAGATGCCACCTGTACAAGCAATTAGACCCATCTTAGGTGATGATTTTTATACCTCCCATGGGAGTCACTACCTTTACAGCTGACTTACAGCAGCAGATCACACCAGTGCTCCATGGTTCCTAACAATGCCAAGTGTGCAGATTTAACCTGTCTTGCTCAGTGGTGGTTTCAGAGTGGTGTGGTGTCAGTCACTTGCAGTGTTGCTCCCAGGGACCTGGGCCAAGGCCAACAACTCAATTCTCATTATTGGCTGAGTAAGAAAAATGCCACTGGTGCTGACCTTGTCATAAATCCACAGCCTCTGTCCCCACACCACCAGCTGTCCAGACCAACCTTTTAAGGACTGATTATATCTGTGTTCCAGTTGCTAAAATTGTTTGGTTCTTTTGTTATTTCAACTCTGTGGTCTCAGAGGAGCAAATTTCTCAATAATTTTGCCTTCTCATCCCCACTGTGAGCTGTGTGCCAGCAAGGTTGTCTTTAAATGAAAAAGCCCTGCCTTTTCCTCCTCGCGGTCGTACAGGTTAAACACGACTTCTCGCTTCTGTCATTCATCCTATTAAGAAAACCCTGGACTGCCAAGTGCACCCTCATTTGCCAGTTTCCAGGGGATGGCAAGCATTTATACCTGAATCATAAACCCTGAAGGAAGGGCCTTATCTGATGTGGTACACCAGACTTAATGGGCTGGTCTGTGCAGCTGCAGCACCTTGGGTGGAAACTTCAACAGTGCCTCTTAAAAACAGCCAGCTTGGTGTTCCCTGCACTGTGCCGAAGGACACGGCTGTTCATGTTTACAGACCTTGCACTTCACTGCTGCAAGTGGTTCTTTGGTGGCAGGATCTAATTGAGCTGTATCCTAAACTGGTTGGATTCAGTTTGAAATTCCAGCTCTGCAGCAAGATCAAATGAGGTTGGACCAGTTATCACCCTCTCTTGCCTCACTTGTAGGATGGAGATGCATTAATGTGTTGATGATGTAAGACTGAAGGAAGACTTTGCTTGTAGTCATTATTGCTGAACTAGTTGTTCTGATGATTTATCCAGAAAGCCCTAAGTGTCCTTATAAATGTAAAATTTCTCTCTTTTTTTTTTTTTTTTTTTTTTTTTTTTAATTCTTGAGCAGATGGAAGACTTAGATGGAAAGGAATAAAAAACATAATTTGCTGAGGCCCTCAATTAATCATAATCAAGTTTGTGCATGTTATACTCTACAAGGGTAACAACAATGAAACACAAGGAGAAAAGGATGCTTTCCTCAGGCAGTTCTGGAGACATAAAAGCAATAAAGAAGCATACTTCAGAATAATGTGGAGATATATGACTGCACTAAATAAAAATGCTTCTTTAACGTACTGTAAAAATAAAGATGTTTAGTTAGATTTATCATTCTTGTTACAAACACAAATTGATCCCTTGGACTACGCTACTGGCTCTGAAAGTATCTGAGGGATGGTTGCAGCCCACTATTTTATGTAATTACTTCAACATTGTTTTATTTGCTAAAGAGCTAACTGGATTATTCCTTCTTTTCATTCCAAGGTTAATATATGGGGCACTTGATCATGCAGATATGGATTTTTGACTTTTACATGATATTCAAGCCATATTTTAATTTGGTATACTGAGAGGAATGGTTTGCTTATTATTTTCCATGAGTCACATCTAAACCTGTGAAAAGACGTTTTTAAAACTAGTTTTACAAATAGCAACATGTGGTAATTGAAAGCCACCCCGCTCCCCAAATCCGCTCTTGATTGACTTGAGAACATTCAAAACCAGTGAGATTCGTTTCTGCAGCTTCATTCAACCATTGCAATGAGCAAATGAAACAATTGTTTTATTTGTAAGAGGAGATTATCCCTTGAAGGCAGATAGAAGGATACTGCCCACAGAACCCCATTTGCAGGCACAAAGAGCGCTTAGTCAATTTTTGGCAGTGATACTGAAGCTATTAGTTTTGGATATGAGTTCACTGATGTTCAGTACTGTAGATTTCCAGTTAGTTCATGAAGGGCCTTTAAAATTACACACAGAGCTTCATTAATTGCTTCAGAAAAGAAGCAACAAATATCAGGCCCTTAAAGTGTGTGTGCACAGAATGGCCATTGATTTCAGTGAATGTTCCCCACTGGAGAGCTGGTCCTGTGTCCTGGGAAGGCAATCACAGTTTGTACAGTGGTTGCATCAGCATTGCCTCAAAGTACAAGGGCTTCTGCAGGATCAGGCCCTGGTAGCTGTAATTTTTTTTTTAAAATCTCTTTCATTCTCTTTCTTTCTCTAATTGTCTGTATACGTGGTTTATATACATGTCCACACACATACATATATATATATATATATATTCCTGGTTCAGTGCATTAAAAGTTTAGCAGTGAATGTGTTGAGTTAGAGACCAATACAAGATGACAAAGTCAGAGTCCTTCAAAACAAAAAAAATAGAAATCCTGTTCTGTAGTCTTGGAGTTTGGGTTTTTTTTTTCCATTTGATAGAATAGTGCCTGAACATTTGTTCTGCAACCAGATATCCATAAAGGAGAATTTCCTATGCCTTCCTTGCAAACGGCACAACCTCATGTGATCCCTGATCACAACAAATTGATTTATTTAAATAAAAATAATGATCTTCTTTCTTTTCTCCAGCCCCAGCAGCAAAATCCCATGTAACCCCAATCAGCAAATTGATACAGTTATCTTCTTTTGTCCTCCTTTCTCCAACCCAAACAATACCACCCTGATCCCCAAGTAATAAGAAAATGATTTATGCAAACAAAAATAATTATCTTTCTTTGCTCTCCACCCTCTGACCGTATAATCTCAGAAGCTCCTGGTTTAACAAATTGATTTATTTAAATTAAACAAATAGTGATCTCCTTTTGACCTCTGTGGAGCACCTCTGTGGCAGACTCCTACCACTGCAACCACCTTACCCAGATGCTTAGGAGGATGTGTTTTAAAATATAACAGCGCTTCAAACTAACCTTGATACTTTGTGACTCCTCTAATCAAAGCTCATGGAAGCTCTGTTCCTAAGAAATGAAATTAGGATGTATCATCTGAAGATTAGAAGTAAGTTAAATGTCACTGGACCATCACTGGCAAAACTTTGAAGGAGCAAGAGGCAGAGTCCTGCTTGTCAGAGGTTTCACTGACATGATCTTGTTCCATGTTTGATAGTCCTGAAGGTGTACAAATACATATATATGTACGTGTTATCTGTGTATTTTTTTCCTGCACTGGCTTTATTTAAATTAGTGTTTTCTGTGCTGTCCAACCAATGCCTCTGTTTTGTGCAGCTGCTACTTGAACAGTCATTTGGGCATTATACAGAATTACATAATTATATGTGCCATAAGCAAAAGTGCAAATAGTCCCACTTAGCACCTAATCAGATGATATCTGTTGTGAAATGCTGGCAAAGAAGCCAATAGATATGACTTACTTTGCTATTAGCTCTGCTCCTTTGGTACGGGCTGCAGCTGGAATTTGGCAGAGTTGGAAGAGGGATTAAGTGATAGTGGGGGCCTGAGTGTATTGTCTGCAGAAACATTCTTTCCTCCACCAGTTTCTGTGGTGTGCAGTGCTCAGAGCAGGACACTGGTGCTAACCAGCCTCCCAGATTTTGAAATACTTTGGTTTTTTGCAGTTCATTCACACTCTGTGTCTGCTTTGGTTTCAGACCCACAGTGCTCTCTGACAGAAGACAGTGACATGATAGGAGTGGTGACACAAGGCTCTTACTTTTACAGTCAATAATTGATTCTTCTGGATGGATTGTGACTCCCTAAAGGTTGCAAAGAGAGGTAAGAATGATTGGACAGCTTCAAAAACATTAGTTCCTTCCAAAGTCAGAAAGTTTTTACTCCCTTGCATCATTCTCCTTCACGGTCTAGCACTCTTTGGGACTCTTTGGAAATACGTGAGAAAATCATTAAAAGAGATTGTTTTTATTAACCAGACATTTTCTTGTTTAATATTTTGGTAATTTTGAGTGGTTTTTTTTTTAACGTTCAACACTGAATTGGGAATACTGTGTGAAAAAGCTGATTGTGTCTATTTTTGTGATTGTCACAAAGTCTACATGGGAAATTCAGATGAAAAGGAAAACGTTGCAGAAACTTGCAAAGTAGAAATATAGATACCTCTGAAGTTTTAAAATCCCATCTTTTTTATTTTGTTCATTTGAAATTTAATTTTTATTCTTCCAAAATCCAAAGAATTGAGGTTTTTGCATGTGAACACCTTTGGAGATATGATCTCAAAATATACTTGGATATTAGTTTCAGAATATTCTATTTCAAAGTTCAGTCCTTCCCATGCATTTTAATTACCTTTACTCCTGACTTGCACAAGTAAAATGAGGTGAGACTCACGCTATAACATTATGCAAAATGCTCCCATAAAAAAAATAATAATCTTGTTCTGAAATTATACCCGGACGATTATTAGAGCTGCAGCCTTTAAAAAATTCAGCCACTGTCTATTGTCTTGCCAGAGAGGAAAGTATTTCTACAGATGGTTTGGAATTAGTAGAACATGAAATAATGTCAATGGTACTGGTAAGAGGATTAACCAGCAGTTCTGATGGTATTGAACGGTTTGCAGAGACCACATTAAACAGCCACATCAGTCCGCAGGTCAGCCCTGCAGTTCTTCAGCTAAGCAAACACAGATGTAGGACTCCCTTTCATGGCCATCATTTCATGCCTTTGACATATGTTAGGCTCTTGGGGCTCCGTGGCATATTTACAGCCTGAACATTAAAGATGCCTTTTCTTAGATCCTTAGTGGACCCTGATGTCTAAGTCAGCAGCAAAAGGAAAAGCAGGAGCCCAGGACACCGGGGATGGACCCCAATGGCACAAATGTATCAGTGAGGAATTAAGCTGCTAGGAAGTTCCCTGATGAAATCCTGGGGCCTTTTTCAGTTGCTGACAAAAATTCTTCTTGAAAATCCAGTCAGTTTGAAATCTCTTTTTCTCTTGGGTTGATCATGTCTGTGTTTTGCCAAAGCTGCCTATGAAGTCGCAGTGGTTGAGTTTCACAAGGCGAGAGGGTTCAGCTCATGTCAGCACTGCCAGGCCTCTGTGCTTGTTCAAAGTTTCTGCAAATCTGCTGGGACTACAAATTGGCCAGAAGAAACAGAGGGAACAGTCTGTCTTACAATATTGCTGTTCCTTTTCTATTCCAACAGAAGCTTTGGCTCTTCTTTATTATTTTCCTCAATTTTTTGTTTCTCTGAAACTAGGAGTCAGAAATAAAAAAAATAAATAGTACATATATGTGATGAACATGTATCTTTTAGATATACAAAATACATACTTATGTATGTCTAGTGAGAACAGGGTGGGACAGGTTCTTCTTGTTCATCTGAATAGTTTTACCTGTCTCAATCCTGAAAACTTGTCAGTTTTCAGATAAAGATATAGGTATAGACATACTATGTTTAAAGAATTCCTGAATGTAAAGGTTGCTGACAAAGAATTTGTATGGAAAGAAGATAAATCGAGTGATAAAACACAGAGCTTTTGCTCAATAATTACTTAATATGGTGCAAAATTTAAGTGAAATTTCCAACATACAGCTGCTCCACGTGTAGCCACTTCTTCCTGAAAGAGGAAATAAACACTCAGCCAGAGAGTGTAACAATGAATTACATTCAACCTAGAAGTGCTTTAGCATGTCTCCAAGAGCTTCTGCCTGCTTCAGTGATGGATTATAAATTAGCATGGAATCCCACAGGCATGGCAAGGTATTTATGGAGTGTTCTGATTGCTTGGACACTCCCAACAAATATACAGTCAGAGCAGAAATCAGAGTATCACTGTCTTCCACTTTATTTATTTCTATTTAGCGAGTGCTGGAATATTACAAACCACCAAGCACAGCTGTAGCTGGAATATACTTCCCAAAGCTTATTTACAGTAGCTCTCACTCACAATGGGTAATGGTACATTACTCCATAAGTAGTTCCATTGATTTCAAGAGATCCATTAGAGAAGTTCCACTCCTTGTACAGCTGAGTGTATCTCGATTTGGTCCCGTGGTTGAAATGCAGAAAGAGCTCCTTTACTGCTGTGTTCTTAAATGCATCAACAGTTTGAAAAAAGCCCTACACCAAGCCCTCCCCCAAATGCTCATAGTAGTGCAAAATACTGATGAGGCTGGAGGGACAAGGGTTTGCAATATTTTATTTTCTTGCAGAAGCAGTGATACATGTTCTTCAGTTATACATAGATGAATGTTCGTTCCATGTGCTGTTTTCAGCTGTGCACTTACACCAGTCCAAAATCCCAAAGAGGAAAGTAAAAGCTGAGATTCACATCAGTAGCAGAGAACATCAGGTGATGCTGATTTAAAGAAAACATTAATCAATCCAGATTTGCTTGGAACCGGGCCCAGGTTCACTCAACAGGTTGGTGAACCTTAGCAAATGTTTCTGTGAATCTGTTCTGTGTTTTGACTTTGTAACGTGATCTGAAATCATCTGAGTTTCATGTGGTTTTGTTGTGCACGTTTGGAACGCTCATGGGGCGAATCCAGGGAAAGACAGAGATGCTAAATTTTGCATGACGTGGTAAGGTAAGAAGTGTTTCACTCTTCCTGACACTCCCTGACACTAAAGTGAACAACAGTTGATGCTGTCAGCACAGTTTTTAAAGAGGAGACAATCACTGTCTGTCAGGCTCCTTGTGTCTCCAGGAGTCTTTATTTTGGAGCCAACAGACAGTCTTCAAATCATATCCTAAAAACCCTATCATGAGTTTTGGACTCTTATATTCCTTTTCTCTGTCTCTGGTAAATGTCAAAAGTTTTACTGCGTAGGCAGGTACTGGAGTTGTGAACAGTATGTTATGTTTCTTGATGTATATTGGTTTGAAGAAGTTTTATAGTGCTTCTAAAAATTAGATTTTTATGTTGAGTCTGTGGATGAACAACTTGTGTTTTAACTTTATTCGGTTTGTATCTGAATTCATAAATAGGTGTATTCAGCCCCCATAGCTGGATATAAAGTATTTAAGATCCATCTACACCAATCAGGTAAAAAATATGATGAGATGACACTTTCTATTAATTTTATTTTTAGGCCAGAGCCCAGAACAATAAATATGTGAGACACTCTGCACGAAAAACAAAACCTAATTCATCAGAGGATGCCAAATATTTCATTCTGTTTCAGGGTGAGCAACAGAGTTTTGCTGGAGCTGAGATTTTGGAGACAAAGGCAGGTGGGAGGAGCTGTTTATTTTTTTACACTGATTCACTGCCTCATAATTGAGACGTTTGTGGATCAGTGAGATGACAGGGAGCTTAGAGAAAACGAGGCCAGTGAGTGTAGCTTAGTGGCCTGGCATATATACAAGGTCAGAGTAGATAATTTAACTGTCTCTTCTGGCCTTAAACCTGAGGAAACTCAAAGAAAAGAATCAAAGTCTGCAGAGGTTGTAGGTAAGAAAAAAAAAAGTAACAGGCTGGGGTGTCCTTTAATGCCCCTGAGGTTCAGCATTCCTTGGCACATCAAGCAGACTGGGGTACAGCCACAGATGGAATGGTCCTGCCAGTCCATTCAGAAGTACATTAGGAAGGAAGAGCAGCTTGCCAGTAATCTTCAGGTTTAAATTGATCTCTTTCTCCTCCTCTGGAAGAGTTCTGTTTGCATCCGCCTCATATCATTGCATTTTTCCACTAATGTTGTCTCACTTATTTAACTTGACACAGGGAGCCCCCTCTGAGGTCTTTGAGATTCCAGCCAGCATTGGAAGTGACAGCCCAGATAAGGCAGGTAATCATATCAGACCTTGGGGGACCACACTGACTACTTTTTAATTGATAATTCCAAGTTTCTGTAATAAATTTATTTCTTAATTATATACATCATGTCATACATGGTAGCTAATGATTACCACTAGTTTAAGTCTGCAGCCTTCAAGACATCCTTCTCCCTACCATATAATCATAATTTTCCTTCCAAATTAAGATTTCCTCAGAAAGAAAATGAACAAAACCCGCACATTAAATCCAATTCCCTCCAAATAAAATAAAAGTAGGTAAATTTAAGATACTAAGTAAAGTAAGTGATTTTAATTAGCGGATCATTTCAGGAAGATCATAAAACATTTAAATAACACTGAAGTTATGTATATTTAAGCAGTTTTATGGAGAATTAAAGTCTTAAATGGTAAATTTCAAATGTAAATACAAAAGTCGATGCAAGAATGTTAATTGCTTTTCCTAAGTTTCTCACATGGCCTAGATGTTATGGGAGGTATCCAGAATTACATTCATAGTAATAATGTGCCCAATTCAAAGCTTATTAAAGTCCTTGGAATTTTTCCATGGATTTTAGCAGTCATTGTATGAACACAACAAATGCTTTTCAATGTTTAACTTCCAGTACTGAGGAAGTCGCTTATATATCAAAATTATATATGTGATGTCAGTATTCCAACTTGATGGTAAATTTTTTGTTCAAAATTCCTTTTAATAGCCAAGAAATTTGAACTGACCTTGAGAACTTATCCAGTTACCTCTTTAACAAATCAAATTACATTTTTACAGCAGACATTTTACACCAGCAGATTAGTTTATATAAAAGAAAACTTATACACCAGGAGAAGCTGCTACAATTAGACATCAAAATGTGCCAACAAATTGAATTATCAAGAATGTGAATTCTCCCATGCCTGTCTGTAGGTCAGCAATACTCTTACATTAGTTTTGACTTAAATAGATCAAATTAAAACTTTATTTTACAGTTTGATAATAATGAAATGCGTAAGGCTTGAAAATAATGAAATTAAAATCAGGAGTAGTAAGGCTGAAAAGTTGTGATGTATACATTTTCTAAATTTGTCATTGTAAGCCCCATGGAAATGAATATGCTGTTGGAAGAATGAGCACACAATGTAGTCCTCAGCAGTTTTCCTTGATTCCCTGAAAACATTTGGTCTTCTGTGAGAGCCTGGAAGAACCACCGGCACATCTCTCCCATGGCAGTGTCAAAATGCAGATGGAAGGGGTAGCTTTCCATGCAGGCTTTTTATTCCATGAAGACATAGAAATCACATTGCAGGGACACCAGCAGTCAAAAAAAGAAGTGTGAATGCTGTTACTGGAGTCTCCTTGTGACTAAATTGTTGGCATGTGTGAGGAAAAAATGCCTCAGGGGACTGGTAGTTCTTAGTGCCCCAAAAAAATCCAGCAGGAACATTTTTTTTTTTTCATCTGGAGAAGATTTTCCAGGGAAAGCTGTCCTGGTGCAGATGGGAGGGGAGGCAGTGCCCACATCTCCTGTGCTCCAGTGCCTGCTGGAGGTGATGCCAACCTCAAAGGCTGTCCAGAGGCTCCATGGGCATTTCTGGCAGAGGGACATGGCAGGAGTTCAGCCTCCTGGAGAAGCCACTGTGCCTGTCTACGTGAGAGCAGGGCTGCAGGCAGCATAAACCTGGTCTTTTCTTTCTCTTCAAAGCGTTACACACAGTCCGAGACACGCGATCCAGGACGTTGCTGTGCCTCTGTTTCTTCAGCTGTTGCATGGGGATATTATTATGCTCTTGTCTCAGACGCTGAGAGGGTTAATTAATTATGTTTATGAAACCCTTTGAGATTCTCAGATGAAAGGTGGCTTTGGAATTGTTAGGTGTTATTATAAGAAAAAGAGAATGATTTTATAGCTTTATGTTAATGGTTAACATCTGCACCACAAAACCTGCTTGATCACATAAAGATTCTGCTAAGCATTTAATCCTAATTTGCAGGCTGATGCATATTCATTTTATTTAGAAGATTAATTTAGTCATCAAAGGTTAATCTGCCTCGGGTTTGTAATTAGACAGAGCAGTGACTTGGTGTCTCTGGGCTCACCCAGGCTGCACGGGGTTTTCTGAGTGGGCAGGGCTCTAACTGTCACCAGTTTTCACTTCCAGGTGGTGCTCAGAGGGAGCTTAATTTTTGTAGAAATGGTGAGTGGTAAAAGCCTTGGCCCGTTTGAAGATTAAAAATAAAAGGAGAGGCACAAGCCAATGAACAGTCAATATAGTGAATCTTAGAATGCTGCTTTAATTCACCCCTGGCAGGTTTACTCAATGCGATGTCAGGGGAATAAGCAAGGGATTTTTTTTATATGTATATGTAAAACTGATTTAGCAGATTTCACAATCTTTGCTGTATGAATCGTGCCCCTCTTTCAAAATTACTGATTAGCAGTATGCAGAAAGTTTCTGAAATGAAAAACTGTGAGGCTTTTTACTGAAAATCTCAGATTTTAACTTTCAGCTCCTTTTAGGAGGTGTTGTTAAAAGGTCATAAAATGTGACCTGTAGTTGCTTGTTGCCCTGAAAATGAATCCTTTTGTGCTTAAGTTTGGCTCCTTTAATTAGAAGTCACAAAAGAAAATGTGGTCCTTGTGGAGAACAAAAATCATGTTTCCTTTGCAGGTACACCAGAAGGCATCTTTAATTACTGTTTATAAAGCTGGCTGTTCCTAAGTGTGAAGGATTATTAGTGCCACGGCATTGTCTTTTGAAGTGAGGAAGAGCAGTGGCTGCCTCTGTCATGTGCTCATGGCTTCCCCTTTGTGCAGCAAAGGTGGTATCGAGGCTGTGTGCTGTGCCTCTGAGCCTCAGCACAGCGTGAGGCAGTCAGGTGGCCTCCAAAAATTGGGGGGTGGGACACTGTGGGAATCCAGGGTTTCCCTCTGACTGCCCTGGCAGGTCTGGGACCCTGGCAGGGGTCAGGAACCCCCCTGGACAGAGCCCCCAGAGACACTCTCTGTGATCTCTGTCCATGGAAAAGAGTTTTCAGTATCACAGGATGAATTACCAGCTCTGAGTGTTTGATATAAGGAATAATTAAGTGTGGCATGGATGCAAAAGTAAAATTTTAGGTTTCTAGATTAGGGGTTCAAAGGGGACAAGATGGAGGAAATTGGGTGTGTTTTGTCCTTTTTCTCCTTCTTCATGCCCTCCATGTTTCACTGTGGTGTTGGCATTTTTCTGTTGGTTCAGGCTGGGGACACACTGTCCAACGTAGGTGACAGATATTGGCATGTTATTGTAAATCCAGCACAGGTAGTTTCTGGTATTTAATGTTTGTAACATCCCACTGAGGGCAGAGCCCCACACGCTGCCCTGCAGGACAGAGCTGCGGCAGGGCAGCAGAACATGTTAGAGATAAACAGAATAAACAACCTTGAAACCAACACAGACGAATTATGGCTTCTTCTTTGGCAGCGGGGCTGAAAGACAGAGACTTTCTACAGTCTTGGAATCATCAATACCTCAGATTCCTACAGGACACCAGGGTGGCTTGGGACGAGCTCAAACTCACTGTCAGTGTGATGGGGCTGTCAGAGGGCAGCTCTGTGCCTCGGGGATGAAGCTCACCCAGGGCAGGACGTGGGGAGCTCAGTATGGAAGACAGAGCTGGGAAGTGGCAGAGGAAAACCTCACAAATGGAAAATTTGTCACAAAAGTAGTGGTTTGCCCAACATGAAATCAATACGTGCTGCAAAGTAAGCACTGTAAATGAAAATCATGATACTAGAATTTAGGAATTTGGCCAAAGCTTTACATTTCATTGCAGCTTGGCTTTGGTTGAGTTTAGAATCCAGATTCCATAGGGGTGGTTGCTCTTTATCCCCAGCACAGCGCTCACATCTCTATTATGATTTGCCAATTTTCCCCTCCTCTTTCTGGTGCAGAACCTCAGAAGCATCCAAGAAGGGATTTTGGAGACCATAAACAGTTCTTAATTGAGAACAGCCCAGAATCAATTTAAGTGCTAGCTTGACTACCAGAATATAAATGAAACTCTTTTATTAAAGCATTGTATTTCAATTATTATGAAGAACAAGTGGCCCAACTGAAAAAGCTTTTAACATAGCAGTTATTTGCTTGATAGCTGATAAGTTAATTTTGGGTGGATGATTACAGCTATTGCTTCTTGTCTTTTTCACTTTCATTTTTACTTGATCTAATGACTGTTTACTGATTTTCATTTGGACTCATGGTGAACTTCTAATTCAATTGGTAATAAATTCAGATTGGTTGAGGCCTGTTATTGCAATCAGTTTTCCTAGTTCCAGTTTAAAAGGCCAATGGAGTTTTTGCTGGTGTTTTGAAGGAAGCTGGAATTGTTTTGAAACTGATGATTTGCAAAGCTGTTTGCCGGCTGACCAATTGGTAATCAACAGTAAACACTTCTCTGTTCTTTACAAGAAGGATAACCAGCCATGCAATGAGAGTACGTGATGGCAATTCACAAAAACTGGGGGAAAAAGCCCAAACAGCCAGAGCAGGTGTCACTCTAGTCAAGTACTGAAAAATAATGTCCCCCTTGCATTGTTCAAGCCCTTCATCTGTAGCCAAGAGACTGAGAGGGGAAATAGACATGTGTTTGCTGCAGATTTTAGACTGTTTGTGCTGTTTTAGTTCTCTTCTCAATCTGAATCTTTAGTGTCTTCACTTGCATCTTAATCCTGAGCTGATTTGTCTGAATGGTAGACAGGTACCACTGAAATGTGGATCGTGAGCTTCATCTGTCATCCCTGCTGCTGTCTCATTGACTTCAGTGAGCTTCCAGAGGAATGAGTCTGGCCCACAAGAGGATGTGAACTGTCAAGAAGATAAACCTCTTTCTCATCCATTTGAAATGTTTGTGGGAAAGAATGCCCTAAATATTTAGCAGCTTGTGTAATTTGAGAGGCAATGCAGGGGGTTTTTTAATTTTATTTTTCTCCCTACCTTTCCATTTTCTTTATTAAATAGAGGAAAACCTTGCCTTAGG